TGATTCCAAGCTTTTTATGATGTGAATATGGGTTTGGGTAGGTGGGTGGGTAATGATGTGAGCGTGGAGGAGGATGTGACTGTGGGTGAGTGTGAGTGTGAGTGTGAGTGTGAGTGTGAGTGTGGGTGTGGGTGTGGGTGTGAGTGTGGGTGTGGGTGTGGGTGTGGGTGTGAGTGTGGGTGTGGGTGTGGATGTAGATGTGAGGGTGTGGGTGGGTGTGGGTGGGTGTGGGTGTGGGTGTGGGTGTGGGTGTGGGTGTGGGTGTGAGTGTGGGTGTGGGTGTGGGTGTGGGTGTGGGTGTCGGTGTGGGTGTGGATGTGCAGGTATGGTTATTGATAATGGGTAGGAAGAATACCTACACTTATACTGCCACCTACATCCACCCAAAAATTTCAAAATCATTTTTTCCTTGGAAATTAATCGATAAATTTTTACAAATGATTCTCACAAATTGAAATTTTTTTTATTTTTTTATCAAAAATTAATTTTCTTTACAAAAACAAAAACATTTCTTAGTCAAAAATTCTTTTTTTTCTTTTTATTTTCACACAGTTCATTTGATCAATAAGAAAACATTTTAATCAAAACATTTTTCATACTTTAATATTCGATGATTCGCCTCTTCAACAACATAAAGATTCTCTTTATCATCAAATGATAAACCAGTGGGACAGTTCAATTGATTTAATTCTTCTCCTTTTCCATTCCCACCAACAACAACTGCACCTTCTGCATTTCCTTCACACCAACACATGACTCGATCATTTCCCAGATCTGCCACATAGATTTGACCCAAATGATCAACAATCACTCCTTGTGGATGAGACAATTGTTTAAGAGTACTTCCTTCACCATTTCCACCAGCAACAACAATTCCTTCCTTTGCATTTTTTCTCCATTTCATCACACGATGATTTTTTTCGTCTGATATATAAAGAGAATCATCTTTATCAACAAAGATAAAACTAGGACCGTTAAGTTGACTGAGATGATTTCCTTTCCCATTTCCACCTGCAACAATTGTCCCTCTTTCATCTCCTTTTTTCCATCGTCTCACTTCATTTTTCTCTTCATCAGAAATATAAATAAATCCATTTTTATCCATTGACAGACCAAGACAATTGATATCAGAGATGAGAACTTGTTGTTTTATGTCATTTTGACGAAACCATTGAATTATTCGTCTGTTGTTCGAATCAGAAATGATCAAAGAATTATTTTTTTGATCAATAAGAACATCTGTTGGACAAAACAATTGATCATTTTTGTCTCCTTCTCCATTTCCCCCAGCAATGATTTGTCCTTTATTCGAATGACATTTCCATTCAACAATACGATTATTCCAACAATCACCAATGAAAATATTGTTATGATGATCAATAAAGATCCCAGAAGGGTGAGAGAGTTGATTTAATCGATCGCCTTGTCCGTTTCCACCCACAGAGATAACTCCGTATTGTTTCCATTTGATTTGCTCTAGAAAATGAGAAAAAGTTGAATTTTGTTTTAAATAGAAACGTTAGTTTTTGATGAAAATAAAAAGAAAAGAAAAAAATCGAATTTGAAAAATTAAAATTAAAATTAAAATTAAAATTAAAAGAAAAAGAAAAAGAAATTTCAGCTTTTCGAGTTCAAAAATTTCGTAAAGAATACATTCTGAGTAAGAAATATTTTTTTCTTTTGAAAATTAAAGGTTTTGTTTTGATTTTGAAAAGAAAAAATCTTCTATTTTTCGTAAAATGAGAAAAACGAAAGAAATGAATTTTGTTTTTAAATATCTTTTGCGAAATTTTGAAAGAATGTCGAAGTTCAATTTTGTTTTTGAAATATCAAAAATGAGTTTTTCTACGAAAATGCTTTCTATTATTGAAAGAAAAACAATGTTTTTCTTTTATTCGTTCGATAATCTAAAATAACAAAAATCGAAGAATTTGAAATGAAATTTGAAATTTCTCTCAAAAATTTCTTTTCTCAACGTTTCGAATATAAAAAATAAAATGGTTTTGAATACACTTTCACTTTTATTTTCAAAAAATTTTTTTTTTAAATTAAATTAAAAATCAATTCAAATCAACACATTTTGACAACGGAAAGATCTCTTTCTGTTCTTTTCGGTTCGAAGAAAATCTTCTCCACAGAATTTCAATTTCCATATTTTTTCATTGACAAAATGAATCTTCTTCAAATATCATGTGGAAGTTTCTCTTCATCTTAAGAGTGTGATTGTGGGTGGGTGTTGATGTAACTGGTTGAAGAAAAGACACCCGCCCACCCACACCCTCGACTTTTAATTTATTCAATATTAGTATCATCCCTGAAAAGTACAGAAAGTTACATATCGGTGCCATTATAAACAAGAAAAACTTAGATAGTAATCGCTGAAAAGGATGAAAGTTATAATTTGATCAGATAATGGCAAGTATTTCTGTCTGTTTAGCTCTAGTTAGAAACTATTTGTGGCGTCTGAAAAGATTTTTCAATACAAACATGTCCTGTTTTAGTAAAGACTTAAAAAATATTAAATGTCCTTTGCTAAATTATAACATTTATTTCAGCAAACTTACCATTAGACTTAGTGTTACTTAATTGATTTTGTTTTTTGAATGCTATCGCTTTCTGGCGCCATTCCATGCTCTTGTCCATTTTTTTACTCTGTGCTGCGATTTTTGCAAGATCCTGGTAAAGATCACCAAGTAACGGATCATTTGATGATAACTGTTCTAAGAATCGAGTAAAATATTTTTCAGCTAAATCAAGTTCATTCATCTCCCATAGAAGCTTTCCTAATGTATGAAAATTTGTTGCTTCATTACAGTATTCCTTTTTCATATCCGCAAGAACTTCTTCGAAAACATTCGTATTCTCACTACACAGCTCCATTCGAATAATCCATACTTGATCGTCATCACTTCGATTAATACTGTTCACACGAAAAATGGAACCAATCATAAAGAGTATTTCTGATTCGTCAGGAAACTCACTAAATTTACTGATATCGGCAAACGGTTTTGTGGTAACTACCCTTGGATCGGCATTAATTTCAAATAGGACTAACTCTAATTTGCCTGTAGAATCAGGCATATTGAGAAAGCGACGAGCTTGTTGCGGATCAGTAGTTGTCGAAACAAATGAATTCGCCGAAATATATTGACCAATGGATTTCTTTAAATTTTCCAGTTCATCGCTTGATATCACTTGTCCTCGATATACTTGTACACAACTTTGAACTTGGTTGCGCTGCAATTGATGTTGAATATCGAAGATGAATGTTCGAAACAAAAATATAATATGAATCTTTTCATTACGTAGGACTGCATTGAGAGTCTTGTAAAAAAACGTTTCTCGTGTATACCACCATAGAGCTTTGTCGCTTAAATATTGTTGTTCAAATTCACGAATGTTGCTCAGCTCAAAATTATTACCTTTATACACATCTTTACATATTTGAATGAGTTCCTTCTTATCTATTTGAGTCGATTTTAGCCGTAAAAGACAATTAATAAGTACTTGAGAATAAACAAATTTACCATTGATACCACCTACTGATTTTCCTGTAGTGAAGAAGTTCAATGACAATGGTTCTTCTACGTTTTTCTGAATTCTATGATCAGCTTTTATTCGAGTGACGAGCTCATCAAGATCTACCACTACAGCTTTCACCTATTAACAAATAAGAAGTCATCAAATCAAATAAAAAATAATCTATATAGTTTTACTTTTGCGAATTTGCTTGACCATTCTTTGTTACCTTCCTTGTCCATACAATAAACATAAATTGATATCACTTGTAGAACTTTTTGAATTAAAGGAACTATTTCTCGTCCTAGTCGACCACTAACAATCATTATTAGCCTATCGGTTGGTGATCGCTCTTCAATGTAGGTTTTACATTGTTGTACATCTTGAAACTTCTTGAGACGATTAATAACAGAACGTAGTTGCTGTTCTGTATGTCGGCTGTCAGTATTGTCCGTGTAATTATCCAGCCAGACAATGCAGAAGATTTCTAGTTCCTGATCACTGATAAAGGTGTGAAGTTCATCTGTTGATAGATTAGAAGTTGCCATGTTTTTCAGTATGATAATGTCCGAGAGAAGTTAGAATGCTGTCTCTATGATGGATGTAGCGAATTTTTAGTATTAAATCAATCTAAAACGAATGTTGAACTCCTGTATTCATAATTTCATTTTTACAAGCTTATAATAACATGTAAGTGTATACAAAAATGAAAAGATGTTCGAGTGTTGTGACCAAAACGATTTTATTCGTCAACAGTCAGCTATGGTAGTGCAAGGGATGGAATAAATATAATTACAACTGAACTAATGATGGGTGTGTGAGTGTGGGTGGACTGTCAACGCTCTTTATCGATCACAATATTGTCGGGTGTTGGATCAGTTTCTGTTAATGCAACTAAGGATTCCTCATTAATCGTTTCCGGACGAGCTGGTTCATTTTTCGACTCAGAATCAGATATATTTTATATCTTCATTTAAATTGAAATTTATCAGATATATGAATTACTCGGGATATTCTATAAAGGTGACTTATATATCCTTGTAGTTAAAAAATTACTTAAGTGATAGTGAAATATCCAAAATATGAATATAACTTGATTCAAATAATGATGCAAGCTGTAGAATTATTTAATTACAAAACGAAAGAAAATTTTGTTTATGTAAATCGATGTATGTGTATATATATATAGTAGAGCTAATACAGATCAAATAAAGTTGCCCAACTTCTCCACCAAAAATGTTAGTTTTCTCTTTATCTAAATATCCGGCTCACTAAATGTTAATAGGCTTGGAGGAATCAATAGAAAACTAAAATCTGTATTAGCTAGGTTAGTGTGCTAGTTATCCTACTTTAGCTTGTAGATTGATATAATAGAGAAAATAATGTAAGTTCAGATGATGAATATGTATTTGATGAAAATCTGGGTGACCCCGATAACAAGAATAAGCAATTAAAGACTGAGAAAAATTTGTTCATACAGCTGAATGAGAGAGAGGGAAAAAATAGATATATATGTATATGTCGAAGAACAGCGACCCTCACATAGGTTACGTAAAGAAGAACGAGAAACTCAAAAAGCTATCGGCAACAGCGTAATTTCTATTGACGCTAATAGCCTTGATTCTTCTAAATATTTCAATTATATATATATATATAATGACTATTAAAGCCATTTATTTCACTTTTTTTCAATGATTTAAAGGTAAAACTTACCAGAATGAAATTGTTTAAATGAGATGATTTGCAAAAATTATAATAGTTTGTAAATTTCGAATGGTATTGTGTGTGCGACTGAATATTCCTTTCGCGAAATAATTCGTTTCGTTTCTTTTATAAAGTAACAGCATTTGTCAATTTTTTTTCGTTTTTTTCAACTACGCATTTTATTGTAAAAGAATGTGTAAATACTGAAAAGAAGACATTGAAAGTCTACACTGTATAAGAAATGTTATTGGAAAGAAAGAGAAAAAGAATTCATATAAAATGAGACGGATTTATGTGCTGTGCAATTTAATATTGTTGATAGAAAACTGTATTCTTCGTAATGAAAGATAAATCTGTCTTCTAAAAAAGAAACAAAAATCTGATGAAATAGCAGGAATCATATTATTCCTCTAAGTGGATTTTATCGACAGTCATAGATCGTCGACATCATATTAAGGATGCGGATGTCTGATATATCCTTATTGCACTTGTACATTCACCTTCACCTACACTGACTTTCGTCACAGGCCTATTTACAGAATATTCAGTCGATGAAATACTTTCCTATAAAAAAAACTTCTCGACAAAATCTGATGAGTAACTTATATTTGAATGAGGAACATATTATTGTTGAACAGAAGTCGTCGGAATCAAAGAATAATTGTGAAGAGTGAGTCGGTTTGATTTTTTGATAAATTAGATTGTGAATTTATTTGAACAAGAAAAAGTTTTTTAAGAAAAATTCAATTCGAATTCAATTTCATTTTCTTCATCTTCTTCAATTGAGAGATTATCATGTTGTTCTTCTCGGTTCTTATTCTTTTTTTTCAATATTAATAAAAGATTTAGAAGATTAATCGATGTTTCATTCATTTTCGTATTAATTTATCAAACTTTATGCGAAGAATTAAATGTTTAACAATAAAATAAAGAACAATAAATGAAAAATAAATATTTCAATTTATTCTCTACAATTACGTATGTCTCTTGACAAAGCAAGAGAAATATGTTCTCTTCTCTCACTCTTTTCCTCGGTTGAGTCTATTAGTAACTTTAGAAGTTACTTTCTAATTGATCATATATAACTGGATCCTCATTTCTATTTCAAATTTGAATTAAATATTTGATAACAATATCAAATATATTTGGAAAAAAAAGAAATCTTAATTGGTTATGTTTCATTGATAATAAGTCGAAATATTATTCTAATCAAACGATGGACATTGTAGCAATCGATTATATTAGTAGAGAAATGGTTTTGAATAAAATTTTATTAGAATTTTGTGTTTCTTCAAAATATTTCGATATCAGATGTCCATGAACAAAGAAATAAAGAAAAATAGTTTTTATTCTTATTTATGAATAATAATTTACTCTCTTTTTCTTTAGATTTTTCTAAAGTCCTTCATAGAGTAAAAGAATTATTAATGTACATCGATTCAGATGTCACTTTTATTTCAATTTCAATTGTCAAAATATTACTGTTGATCGAATAAAATCAAGATCAAAATTCGGAACGAATTATAATTTTCTCTTCGTGTGATGAGTCGAATGAAGAGTTTTATTTAATATTTAATAACAAAGATGGTTGTGTTTAGAAATAAATGAATCTTTTTCTTTTCTTCGAAATTTGATTAATTTCTATATAAAATAATATTCTCAGATTTTACATTATTTATTGCATAAATTCATTTCTTTTTGTCACTGTTGATAATTTGGATAATTCTTTTTAGAATTAAAATAATGTCACAGATTTGAGTTTAAAGTTAAAATTTCGATGTGATAAATATTTATTGTTTTATAGAATTTTTATTTGTTCATTTTGAATATTTGAATATAAATTCTCTAAAATAATTCAAGTTCTTCAAGGGACATCATCGATTTTGCTGAAAAATCCAAATTTGTAATAGGAAAAATTTGAAATTCTTTTTTGAAAATTATCAACAAATTCTGGGAAAACTACGTTTCGTACAACTACCACCAGGTCATTCTGAACTCCCGTAGCAGATGTCTGTTACGAACTTCCGACAAAAATATCATTCAAAAGTTTTCCTCACAGATGTCTGAATGACAAAACTAAAGTAAATAAGAAGGATATCCGTCATGAAAAAAGTTCCGATGATCGATGCGGGTGTGTGGCAGGTGTGTGTGTGTGTGTGAGTGGGTGGCAGTATAAGTGTTGGTATTCTTCCCA